CAAGTGACTTAATCTATAAATTTTAACTCCTAAGTAATCTGTGTTTTTGAAATATAAAGTCAAAGAATCAGGCATTTTTGGGGTAGAAAAATGGGGTGGGGAAGGTTGAATCAGGGTGGTAGACTAGTCAAGCTGTAATTTCTCCCTCCTATCCATTGAGATAACCAACAGATAAATAAAAAACTTTTAAAGCAAAAAGGAATCCACAATTATATTGCCAAATATGAAGAAGCACCTGCCCACCCAACCCATGGACCAGGTGCCAGAAATCCTCATAAGAGCAGATAAAGGGAGAATAATCCCAGCTCAAAACATTGAAGGCTCAGTGGAAACAATCAACCAGCCATCCCCTTCAAACTTCTACTGGTTTACTTTGGAAGGGTAGAGATAACACTGTATCTTCCCTCAGACACAAGTGGTAAATGTGAGAGCTCAATTCAGAGAATCATGGCAGTGTGTCCAAGCCAAACCAGGAAGTGCATACATCCAGAGATAGGTTGGTGCAGGCGCATCCTCTTGTCTTTCCATGCAATGGCTCTTAAGAAGAGCTTAGAACTTCAGAAGAATAATTAATATCCTCAGAAAACACAAGAGCACCAACACCCACATACACAAATTAAGATTGAGTCAGATGACCCACTTAAGTAATTCTTCTAGAACGTAACACTATGTAGAAAAGCTAAAGGATATACAGAAAACAGAAACAAAGGCCAAACATCTTCTAAACAGAGGAATTGCAGAAGAAAATAATCGAGAAGGTAAAGGCATCATAGTTGTAAAGACAGAGGGAAGAATAACCTACAGTTAGATACCTCTGACAGAATGGGCTTAGTAGGAAAAGACCCATATACTGTGGTAAAATTTCAGAATATATACCTAGGATGAGGGGGAAAAAAACAAACTGAGGGATAAAAACTTAATTAAAATCCCAGTGTATCAAGGAATCTGGACAAGTGTTTCACTCAAATGGTCATGAGAGCTCTAGATGAGACCCTTTTTTCCCATATGACCCTGACACAATTCCAGGTACTGTGAATAATGATATTCAGCTCCACCCATCACAGTGAACACAGTTGTTAGATCAAAGTTGTCTTGATCTATACCTCAAGATCTGGAAATATTGCACTAAAGTCCTCTCAGACTAAAAGTCACCACCCTTCCCATTAGACAGGGTTTTTTTTTTTTTTTTTTTTTACTTTTCATGCTGTAAAGTCAGCATTGCTGATTCATCTTCTTTTCCCCAATGTGCCTAGATCCCATAACAAATCTCCTTATCTTTCATTAGGAGCTTCCATTAATTTTTCACATAGCCTTGTTCCATACCTACAAATGAAATCCCAAGTAGAACCAATCTACTCCATCATAACTAATCTAAACTCCTGGGTTACTGAGTCCACTTAGGTATGGCACAACCATGTCAACTAGTTCCACTGCATAGCTTAATCTCTAGCCTTACCTGGGTCCTTGATGGCCTTCAATACATCTGGAAATTCTTTTTTCATCTCTAGTATGTTCCAGTATTCATTCTTCACAGATGACATCTAAATCACCATTCTTTCAAAGTTCTTTAACCTCCTCCCAGCTTCCCTCACTTGCAATAAGTGATCTGATATATGATCAGGTTTTTCTCAAATATATTTCACATGCTGTTAGTATACTGTGACATATCTTAAATGTTAACATAGAATAGGTTGGAAAAAGACATTCTTCAACATGAAACAATCAAGTACACCATCTTTGTTTTCTCTATGGTTAACTAGCCCTTCCAAATGTGCTTCATATCACCAGTTACCCCCTGTCATTTCTTGATTCATCCACATTACTCTTTTGTTTTTCCTTCTCCAGACCACACCCTCTTTACCTCCTTCATCAGCTTCTCTGCCAGCATGCCAGTAAGCCTCAGATCTCTTCTGGTCTCATCATAACTGCTCCCTACATGATCTCATCCACAGCCACAGTTTCATTTCTTACTTATATTTACTGACAATTCCTTCATTTACATCCAATAACCCATATTCAAACATCCACTGCTTATTACTCATTTTTACCAGATATTCCCTATATACCTCAACCTCAACATATTAAACTAATATAACTTTACCCATTCATCTACTTCTCTGTATTTTTCTTTTGGTTTATGGAAATACCATCCATCTAGTTTCTCAAAAAAAAAAAAATCACTTGACATTTCCTCTTAATATTCACACTCAAGTCATCAAGTTGGGCTAACAGTTTGAAGTGTATATTAATGTGTCACCTCACGCTTTCATTTTCAAAGTTACCAGCATCTCAATTCTCTCACCTGGACCCACTACCTTTTTTTCCCTTAATATACAAATCCACACCAAAGAGCAGCTATTTGGGCTGCACATCAGAATCACCTTATAAACTTATAAAAGTCTTAATGATTAGGCCCTTCCTGGGGGCGCAATGGGTTAGGATCCAGCACTGCAAGTGAGCCACACCCGCTTCAGTGAGAATTCGATCCCCTGCCCCGGAAGTGACCCACATGGTGCCGCGAACCTCTCCTGTCTGGCCCTCAGCAGTGTACTCTCTAAGTCTGCCTGTTCTGCTTCCCACTCTGTCTCTGGTAAATCCTCTCACCGCCCCTGCACCTATGGCCTGTACCCCAGTTCTGTATGTATAAATAAATAAATCTTTTTTTTTTTTTAAATCTTAATGATTAGAGCCCACTCCTGATCAGTTATACCAGAATCTCTGAAGATGGGGACCAGGCATCAGCCTATTTCTATAAGACCCCATATAATTCCAATATGTAGGCAGATTTAAGACTTCTCCAGAATTAAAGAACCCATAGATTATAAGGTGCATGTGAATACCAAGCAAGAAAAAAAAAAGTGAAATTGAGTAACTTGGATAATAAAGAGAAAATCAAGTGAAAGCTCCCAAAAGGCAAGGACAAATTGCCCACAACAAGAAAGGAAATTACAGTAACAGTAGACTTATCATCTGCAACATTAGATGACAGAGGGCAAGGTTGGAGAGACTATAAACCTGGAATTCTATGGATTGCTAACCTGTTGTTCAAGAATAAGACAGACTTAGCAAGAATACATAACTAAGACTCTATGATTCATAGACCATCAACTGGAAGAATCACCTTACAAAGAAAATACTTCATAATGCAGGTAAGTGAGCTATGAGGATTACAAAGGTAGTTAATGACAGTGACCTAGTCTGGATTCCATCTAGAAAACACAAAGTGTGAAATGCATGAGCCACAGAGTTCCAATGACCTTAATGAAGGTAAAACTGTTCAGTGCAAATAAATTTTATAATGAATGTATTAGAACATTTCTAGAGAGTTGATTTTAATTGATTTCTAAGTTTCTGTAGTCTGTTTTTATGGTTAAATTTCTACAACTTTAAATAATAAAAGCTGAGCAGCACTGCCAATATAGTAATGTTAAAGATATAACATTTTCATTGCAAAAAAAAGTGATAAATTTATATATTTTCCTCATTGCAAAAGACTGATAAATTTATGTACTTTTCAAAATATCAAAACAATTTTATTGATGGCTATCAATATCTTTCCTTGTTTTATGTGTGAGCTGGAAATGATTTAATAATTCTAAAACAATTATTCAATTTCTGTAATATTAAACTTAGTTTCCTTTCATCACTTCTTGGTAAATTCAAACACACATTAATTTTACTACATTAATCCTCAGCACTATATTCTAAGATTTAGCACAGGAAAGAAAAAAAGACTCTTAACCAGGATGATGATTATATATTTAATGCATCTTGCTTTTAACAGCAATTTTCAAAGTAAACACATAATAATGGGCCTTATAACTTATTAAAGATTTATATTACTTACAAAGTTGATTCTAAAAATATACTTTATTTGCTCTAAATGAATAACATTATCTGGAAGATAGAACAATAAATTATAGTAGTACATTTACTACCACTATCGTTAAGATTGTATACATATATTCAATATGAAATCCTCTTAGGATTTTTCACACTTCCAGCCTTAAAATATAGAAGCAGATTAAATTTTGGCATACAAGATCTTATTCTGACAGCAATGGCTTTAAAACCAAAAATATCTAATTAACATTTTAAGAGAGCATGGACATATGCACACACATATATATACATATTCATGCTCTCTCACTCAATCCAACACACACACACACATACACACACAGACACTCCAGAGTATGCAGAATATACCAATTTCACCCTTGTGTATCAGACAATTGCCATCAATTTCAAAAATAAAGTTGGGGGGAAAAAAAGCTTTAAAAAGTAAATGTTGAAAACATACTTAAATGGCTCTAGTTGTTGGAAAAAAATATGTATAAAAGTATTATCAATATTTTTAATATCCATAATGTGCCATTTTGATCTATTCTTAAACAGGTTGGAACTGTTCACTAGTAAGAAATTATGTGCCCACCCATTCCCCAAATAGCATTCTAGTCAGTTGTCATATGACTCAGTCCAGTGAAAATGTTTCCTTATTGAACCCAAGAACAGGACCCAATAAAATCAGAAAGTTCATTTTGATTTCTTTGGGTTTCTTATGTGTTCCATAAAAAAGCAGTGAGCTATTGTACTGCAATGACAGTTAATATCACAACACTTTGTGGCACTGCAGAAGATCATTCTATATTTCTAAAACATATATTTACCCTAGGTAAATCCCCCAGTGGTCCTTATTTTTAATTATATATACTCTTCCAGACTTAGCCTCAAAAAAATTAATATTGATAAAAGTGCTCATCACTTTTATTTACAGTAAAATCTGTCAAACAGAAGATTATTCTTTGGATTCTCTCCAGTAATGAAAGGTTTGAAAACATTCTATTTTCATCATATATTAAAACATCTAAAACTCTGAGACAATATTAAAATAGAAACTAAGCACACATTAGGGCACCCATAACTCATACTGCTGTGATTAGAAAAATAAAAAGGCACAACAGTAAGCAAAAGACAATATATCAGCTTTCTATTTTCTATTTTTTTTTTTGGCTTTCCTCTTATTTCACTAAGTTATAAACTGTTCAAAGCATTCTTATACTCCACATGACAATAAAAGAATATTTTGGCACATCAACATTGTGATACAATATATGGTATGTTTAAAAAAATCAATTAAAAAATTTCATCTATTAATCAACATGTTTTTTAATGTAGTGCATATATATTTTACAGTTATTTAGGTCAAGTACATAAAGATTTGCTACTGATTTACAGACAAAGCAATCACAGATTGCAGTAATGTATGTGTGTGTGTGTGTGTGTGTGCGTGCGTGTGTGTGTGTATGTGTATGCGTACCCATCAAGGGAAAAATGCATTCTGGCAATTTTACAGTCCATCGTTTGTTGGCATAGCTATCATTTGCATACCCTTCTCATCTTCCTTTTCTGTACAAATGATACATTTTTGCCTTCTTCATTCTTGATGAGATTTTTCTGCGATAACTTTACATTCATACTGTAAAAAATTAAGAGAGGTAACAGATTTTGAATAGTAGACTTATTTTAAATGAAAGGTCTATGTAAACTAAAAAGCTCTAAAAGTTAAAACTTTATCAATATACATCCACTTTACTTCTCAAAGAATTTGAATGTTATATTCGCATTAAATGACAACTGTGATTATTGTGGAAAAGAAAATTCCAGAAGTGAAAAGGGTATAACCAAAAACAAAACAAAAAGAACAAAAGAGAGAGAGCGAGAGAGAGAGAGAGAGAGAGAGAGAGAGATTTGATTTCGTTATTACAAGCAAATGATGACTCAGGTCAACCCTAGAACAGGAAAGGAAGCAAAGCAGGTTGCTCTGAGTACTAAGGCTAGTCAGCTAAGGGAAGGTCATAGGTTTAAGGACTGATATAATGAATTCAGATATTTTTTTCAAATCACTTTATACTTAAAGAAGAAAAACTTGTAACATTAGCAATAGCTTCTGATGAAAACAAAAGTAAAAAAATAAAACTATAAAATATATATCTAAATTTTAAATAAAGGAAACCAGTGGCTTCAGGTAACTAGTTGATTAAATTTTTAAAAAGAAACGCATTTTCAAAGCATAAGCCACCGAATCCTCCTGTCTAGTGAATATGGCAAAAGTGACAATACTTATTCATGAAACTGCTGTGGCTTCTGAATGTTACTTTTTAGCCTGTGCTCTGTAACTGAGATAATCCTTCTTAACTAAAATGATCAAACATCTTGATTTGCCAGAAATAACCCTAATTTATATTCATTTTAGCAACAGAGTTATTAGTGGTGACTTTTCACTTTAAAATTTCCCCTTTTGACAGAGTGGAAACCTATACTTAAAAAGAAAAAAAAGAGAATAAATCATATCACTTTATGTTTGTGCAAACACAGTGTTTCTATCTCCAACTTTTAATACACTTGTGATTAAATTCTTCCCAAGGGTTTGTTTCAGTAAAAATGTAAAAGAGAAATCAAAGAATGTATGTTCAAAAAATTTTTTTTCTTAAAGAAGTACTACAGAGGCCCTCCCTGGTGGCGCAGGGGGTTAAAGCACAGCACTGAGAATCTAAAGCCGCTTCCGTATGAGTTCGACTCCCACCTGCCCCGGAGGTGACCACATGGCGCGGCAGACCTCTCCTGACCCACCCGCTGCTCTCCTCAGCAGTGTACTTTGTCAATCTGCCTGTTCTGCCCCCCACTCTGTGTCTGGTGAAGCTCTCACCGCCCCTGAGCCTCTGGCCTGTACCCCAGTTCTGTACGCACAAATAAATAAAACTTAAAAAAAAAAAAAAAGGAGGACTACAGAGAGGAGAATTTGCCTGGCATCTCAGAAAGGTATTAAACAAGCCTCAGCTTACCATTGCCAGTTGTCGACCAATGTTTCCCATTGTTATGCCTCCAGCAAAAAATATGCATGGTAACCAGGAGCGAACATAGAGAAAATCTGGAGATGTATATCTAGAATAACAGAAATATTTTAAACTCTGTTATTAAAATAATGATGATGTTGCTCTTGGAAGAAATTGGCTAACCCAATTTTAAAATGTCAATTCTGAACTCAGTTAACATTTAATTATTTAGCAAACAAGGACCAAAAAGAAATACTTACTGGTAAACACCATTATAGACTAGCAGTTGAGTGATCAATGTTGCCAGGAAAGCAATTCCTACTCCAAGGCCAAACCCACTTCTAGATCTATCAAAAGTCCACCACAGTCCAATGGAGAGTGCAGCCAGGGTGAGAGACAACTGTATGTTGTTATCAAAATCCACTTTCTGAGATTAGTGTTAAAGAGTCATCTTAAAACTTGCAATCGAGTAATATCACCTGTTCATTTTTCTAAAATAAAAGATGTCACCATTGAGAAGGGAATCAATTGCTTATTCTACAGAGCACTTCGTCTTTTAATATAGTGTATGAGATGAGATGGGATTAAAACTGTCTCTGGTATTTACGAAAGATTCATAGCAGGCATGATAATTCATTAGCAGAGTCCACCTACTTGTACGCTCTTTAAAAAAAAGCACTCTCTACACATTTGCAATTATAAGATCAGACACGTTATTTTAGAAATGGCCTCACTGCTAAAAATGTAACTGCCTCAAACACAAATATTGCTAAAGGAATATACTTTTGCTAAAAAGGAAACCAATATTACTTCTCAAACAGGCTTAGAATTACTTGAGAATAGAAGAGTTGACAGCTATTTAACAGGGCACCACATTCTTTATATGATTTACCGACAGACACATTTTATAATAATGCAGCTCTGAAACAAGAGTACCAAGGACACAGTATCCCTTTCTATTATGTCAACTGTTCCAGTTTTAATTTGTTGAGGATAAAGCCTTGAAGTGAACATTATCTTGCAACCTGCCAAGCTATTTTGGTGCCTGAGACTTTCTGGTACAGGACAGTTAGCTCAAATGATATTTTATTTCCATCACCCACTTAAACATCTATTCACAAAAGCACAGCCCTTTTCTACTCCAAAATCTCTGGGCAAAACGAAGCTTTACAAATTCAATTTTCTCATTTCTTTGCTAGAGGATTACACTAAAGGAATTAATTTCAAGTATCATTAAAAGGGCATTATCTATTTCCCGAAGGTCATATCTTGGCTCGATATCCTGTTCCCCAGGGGGACTACATATCTCACCAAACTAACTGGCCACACTGCAACTAAGGGGAAGAGAGCAGAAGTTCAGAAAATGCATATATAACCACTTTCTACTTCTTTTAACTCCCCAATGTTTACCACCATCCTCCTTTCCCTACCAAACCACCTGCTATCCTGAATACCCAGCATCTGTGGATCATTGTTTGCCACTCCTTGAAGATCATTGCTTCTTTAGGCTTGATTTATCAAGAAGCCTACAGTTTACGGGGATGCTGGCTAGAAAAGCTTCTCTTATTCTTTAACTGGCATCAAATCTAAAACTGCAAAGAAAGGTTATGAGTTCTGATGTCTCTATGCAATAAACAGCTTTCCTAACTACATTTTGATGTTTTCTGGGATCTGTTTGTCCTAACTGCATGAACTTCATTAAGAGTTTGAAGCAAAATTAAGAGGCTTCTAGGGAGACCAGGTAAAACACATCAATCTTTTAAAAAAAGCAGCATATGATCATATAAAAAGTCTATTTGAGGCCCTCCCTGGTGGCGCAGCGGGTTAAAGCACTGCACTGAGAAGCTAAAGCCACTTCCGCATGAGTTCGATTCCCGCCTGCCCCGGAGGAGACCACATGGCGTGGCAGACCTCTCCTGACCCGCCCGCTGCTCCCCTCAGCAGTGTACTTCGTCGATCTCCCTGTTCTGCTCCCCACTCTGTCTCTGGTGAATCCTCTTACCCTCCGCATCTCTGGCCTGTACCCCAGTTCTATATGAATAAATAAATAAATCTTTAAAAAAAAAAAAAAGTCTATTTGACTAATATTAAGCCTGAATTATAAATTGTGTAAATGTTTGTATGTTGTTTAAAGGATGTACAGAACAGCTTGAGATTGCTATATTTAAGAAGTCCATTCAGAGAGACTGAAAAGAATAGCCAAAACAAAGAATTCAAAATGAAAATTTTGTTTTCAGTTCCAAACAAGGCTATTTAAATTTCTTAACTTAAAAACTGTGCAACTATCTGGGACAGAAAGCTCTAATCCACAAGATAGCGAGGAATTAACATACCATGTGCTCCTGGGAAGGAGAACTTGCTCTTCCCAGACTTGAGTCAGGATCACCTGTCTGATCTCAGCTCTGTCACAGCCTTGATATATGAATGACTTAGCAAAGTACTAGCCTCTCAAGCTGGCATTTATTATCTCTGTAAGCAAATGAGGAATCACATTTTTTCCTCACTTCTAATAAGAACCTAGTCTTTTATTATCTTTTAAACTCCTCTTACCCACTAAAATTATTATAAAATCTCAAAGAATTTAGCACTATTAACAAGTTGGGAAATCCTTCAATATGGATGGAAAGAGAAAACCAAAATGCTAACAGCCACTGAGGGACTTCCAGATTCATAGATCTCTGAGGGCTGGCACAACTGGGACAGAAAAGCAGTTTGTTTTCTGAAGCTAGGACTCTGCCTTGTACCCTGGCTCCTGTTCCCCAGCTTGTCCAAAGCACCTCAGTACTCTCCCACAGCCACAGTTATCAACTCGCCACATGACCCATTCGTCTGTCTCTCCAGCTAACTGCCAGCTGAGCCCAGTGCAGTGACCAGAGGAAATCGTGGGATTCCTCCTCCTCCTCCTTGCTAGTCCCTCTACCAAAGGTTCCCACAACTTCCACTCTCTAAGCCACATTTTCTAGAAAAGAGAAGGCCAAACTGGCATTTCCCAGATACTCTCTATAAAGGAAAGTGGGGTGAAGAAGAGGAGAGGAAGTAAAGAGGATGATAGGACAAAAACCTAGCAAGGGCAAAAAACTTTTCTTCTGTGTAGGCGAAGAAGGAAGAGAGAAGAAAAAGTTACCCTATTCTCTAGAAGAGTATAAAAATACTTGCAAATCACTAAACTGAATGTCACAATGATTAAACTCTCAAACTTTTAGTTTGTATACCTTAAGAAAAAAATTCATTTTGTTCAGGGTTTAAGTTAAGATATTTCTACTTGTGTGACCTCTAAGGACATTAAGAAAAAACACGTGGTTTGTGGTGTTGAATAAAACCAATAAATGACAATTTGCCTTTAAAAACATGTATTATAGCTTCTTTGAATTAAAAACAAAACAAAGCCAAAGCACCAGAAGTTACTACATGCCCTTAATGGCAAATCTTTAATGAAGAGAGAAAAGAGAAAGAAATCCTTTGAAAATGTATCTGCTTCAATCTTAAGAGTTATCAAAAGTGCATGAAAGTAATTATGTAACCTAAACTAAGAAGAACTTGTTAATTTTTTTTTCAATGTGTGGAAGTTTCTAAGTTATATCAAAAGAGGGAGGTACAGGAAAAGCTACACCCTACTCTGTAATTACATTGCTACTACTGTGATGTTTCAACAATAGGGCTCACATTCTTTTTCTGACTAAGTGAGCATATCACAATTTGACAACAGTGAAGTTGGAAGGGACTGTTTAACCTTTGGTTTGTTAGAAGTTGCTTTGTTATTATGCATTTCATTACAGTTGAAAGGATACAGCGCTGGCGTGATTTATACCAACAAAGACGGCTACGCACCGCATTACACTGGACCACTCTCTTTTAAATTTATGTGGCTCTCCTAGATGCCTGTCAATGCAGGGGTATAATAACCCAATCACAGCTGTGGAAAAAAGAGAAAAAAAAATTAAGTTATTTCCAATGCTCTATTGGAAAAACTTAAGCCATAACTTAAGCCACCATAAGCATATGAAACATTCTTGAAAAAAGCTCTTTGATTTACTTAACACTAACTGCTTATATATCTAAAGTTATCCTCCAAAAAAATGTTTAATACGACTAAGCAAAGCATTGTAAATGGTTATATCAGTATTCTAAATTATAAGAGCTACTATTTAAGTATATGATTCACAATTTAACTGATTGGACTAGATGAATCATACCACTTTTCTACTATTAGTATCTCTTAGATTTGAAAAGCATCAAATCAGCAAACAGTTAAGCAATATTCTCCTGCAGTCATATAACCATGAAACATGCTATTAAATACCACAAGTCTAAAGAGAAGCCGAAAATGTAAGCATGCACAACAGACTTACCCTATACAGTGCTAACACAGAGGCTATCTGGTTACAAAGACCCCTTAGCTTCCTGTCCCAGGCTCCTACATCTAGTGCCTGGTCCTGACACTCCCGGCCACCCTAGTCCTCTAATGAGATTTTAGGTCACATTGCCAAAGCAGGGACACTCATAACAGAAATCTGTATGTACAATTCATTCTTCACATAGAAAATTTAAAGGAAACGTGAACTATTAGAACTATATACTTGTAGTAAAAACTTACATTCATTATTAAAATAAGAAATCATTTGAATTCATTTCTTAGAATGAACTACATTTTAGAATTCTGTCTTATTAAGTGGATGCAACATATCTGGAACTGAGATTCAAAGCATTCCCACACAAATTTTAACTTAAATATTTGTTAAACCACAAAGCTTTTTCACTTAGAGGGAGAGAATTTTAGATGCTGTTAGTAATTTTAAAAAAAAATAGACTATTTAATGAACCAAAACATTCTTCTAGAAGTTATGCCCTTCCCTGGTTTTAGCACTGGCTAGCTATATCTAGCAAATGATGCATTTAATATCCAAGAAAAAATGAAAATCAATTAATATCAAAAATCACAATGTAGCAGACCAACAGAGTAGTATTAAAAAATGGCTGTGTGAGTAGCCTTCCATCTGGGGATAAGATGCAGTATTATAGCTCTTTTCTAATCTACAAAACTAAAAGCATTCTTTCAAGTCAGGCTTCTGCGAAGTGTAGATGGTTCAGAAGTGTCAGCAACGCAGAGCTCCAGCAACTATCAGTAACTTAAAAGTTTCACATTGTATTCCCATGTAAAAGTTACTCTAAAACTTTGTGAGATTACTAACACATTTCCAGATCTTTACAAAATTAAAATGGGAACAAGCATGCCAAATAGATGAGATATAGCTAAACGAGTATTACTTTATTCTGCTCAAAGAGTCATGAAGCTAACAACTCGTGTGTCATGCTTTGCGCTCACTTCACTGTTTTTCCCTCCCATTTCTTGCTGTAAAATCAAGTAAGAATAGGCATCCCAAGTCAATTTTCCTCAGCTGAAGTCTTAAGTAAGGAATTATCATATAGAGAATACTGACATATGTGTGCAAAGATATAAGTAAGTAGAATAGACTATATTTTTATGCATGTGATGTCAGACTTGCAAGTGAGAGACAACTGAGGAGAGAAAGTGAAAATACAAGAAAAGAACTTAAACTACCAAGCTGCCAACCTTGGGATTTGCCAATAAAAATCAAATCCACTGAGTATGCATGGTTCTCAGTTGCTCACTGAGAGGGAGAATTCGAAGAAGCTTGTCACTTCCCATTAAATGTCTTCTTTCTTTCCTTTAAATAAAAGTGTGGCAGAGTCTGATAGCAAAATCTACAGCATAGCGAGGCTCTGCTCTTGAGAACTCAGCAGAAGTATGTCTGGGCTTCTTCTCTTCTATTTTAACAAGAGAGACTGCTAGAATCATGCCTGTGTAAAATCACATGCAAACTAAGTACTGCTCACTGAGACGGCTTGCTGGTGCAAAATCATACTCCTTGGGATATATTTAAGTTATTTCCCAGTGGTTGGTTACAGTCTACTAAGGACAAAAATAAAGAAGTCTGTAAAACATCAATATTAAGTCATCACTTTTTATGGAAGTACATTTAATGTAGTGATGCACTAAAAAGAACAGTTAAATTTTGCAAGGAATGGGGCTGAAAAAACAAAACCACTGAATGAGATATACTTCTGTGGACAACTACTACATATGCAGTGCTTTCATTCAACAAATGAAATCAAGTTTTCAAAATGTGTCCAATTCTTGGTAGTTGCTAGGGATTTGAAAAGGAAAAGGAAGATATGATCAAAGTCTCAAAATGACCACAGAAACAATGAAATTCAGTAATGCTTGAGGTAGCAAAGGTTGTCAACTAACAGGAGCAAGGGGAGGGACATGTGTACAAAAGCTTTCTAATCACAGGAAAGCATTAAAGAAAAGCACTGACAATGGACAAGACTTGGTATCACCTGAAAAGTATATCTTTAAGGCAGAACTGGAACTTTTAGGTCCAGAAAGACTCTGAGGAAGATATGAGTAGAGAAGAGCTAGGCCACAGAGACATTACCCTGCAGACTCTAGGGAAACAGCAAATAACGCCATCCACCATCACATTTATACCAAAGGAGGAAGCAACTGCTCTTACAGCAATAGGCATACAACACATGATAAGAGAGGAAAATGGAGGGGCAGTTACAAATCTAGAGGCAGAAAAAAAAAAGATCAAACATTTCAAGCAGTAGCTGAGAAACTGAGTCAATGATGAGACAGAAAAGATAAAAAACTTGGAAACTGGATATGGGAGGTGAGAGAGTAACCAGATTGTTGCTTGCAATCTTTGAATCAAATTTTCCCTTCTCCAGTGATTTTACCTATAATAATTGGCTTTTTTTTTCTTATTTGTTCTTTAGAAAAATTCCTTTGTGACCCTCAATAATGTTCATGAGGTTTCTAACTCCAGTTCCTATGCACTGCATACATAAAAAAAGTTAATCAACTGGAAACACCAGCTACAACTAGAGAACTAAAAGAGAACTAAGAAAGGAGTTCAAAAAAGGTTTACCAGAGTTTTCGACTAGTCCTTCCAGAAGTACCATCAGCAAATTTTGTAGGATTGGGTGCTACAGAGAAAGCTAGTTAAGTAAGCAAGGGTCTGTTCTGTTTACATGCAAAAGTGGTGTTTTGCGAGACCTTCCAAAAAGAAATTACTGAGTCTATGAATATTACTGGACAGGAGAAATCAAAGGATAATTACCAGTTTTTCTTACTTAAGATGATAAGAAACTAGAGCACTTTGAAAATGCATATCAAACAATACACATAACACATACTGTCAAAAACTCATACACTAAGTGTCTTAAATCGATTTTCTTTTTTTTCTTCTGTATTTTCCACAAAATATCAACAGGAGAGGAAGTGGCAGCAACTATGCAAGAATCCATTGTCCATCTCTGGCAACTTACACAAATCTGGTATCTTCATCCTCATCTCTTAAATTTATTTAACCAAATCAGTAGCAGAATTAGCTGGAATCTAGATTGCCTAATGTCTTTCTACTTGTATTTGCCAGGTACCTGCTATTAGAAGAAACTTTTAAGCAAGAAATGTAAATACAAATCCTTAAATGAAAACATATGAGGCTCCATTTGTAGGTATGACAAAACCAGCTGCTGAGAAAAGGGAAGAATGTAGAGACAAGGGGACCAAAATGTAGTATGACCATTTGGAATTTTTTAACCCTAAATATGTGTTTATAGAAAAAGTTCCCACATCCCAGGAGATGCAGCTCCTGTGCCTCTTCATAACGTAAATACAGTGAAGCCTCAGTCAAGTTCTTGTGCTCCTGCCCAGAATGGAAGGTAAGAGTGTATTCCAATTAAGCCCAGCGCTTAGTCTGAAGGCTTCAAAAGAGGCACCCTGAGAAGAGGTAAATGCGGGTACTACCTCTTTCCCCTTCCTGGACATGTGATATTTGATCCAGCTGTACTAGACACTGGGTTTTGGGACCCCTGGACTCACTGATTTCCTCTCTTCATGTTGTCTCATGACCCCAAAATTGGCACAATGCCAAACATCTCACTCAGTTTCTCTACAGACTCTTGGGTTTAAGAGACATTCCTTTTATCTAGTCTGAACAGACATATCCTTCCAAATCCCAAAGGACTTCTATTAGTAGCCAGACAGCAGCCATAACATAGGAGAAAATAAACAAAGAATTAGAAAAAGATGTTGGAAAAACTTTATTTTTCACTTTTGAATTTAAACAAAGGAAAATACATGAGGGCTAGTAGATAGAACAGAGAATGATAAAATATAATCTGTGCTTTCTTCTTTGTCTGCACTACTTTGCCTATTCTCTGGGAGAATAATTATCACCCTAGAGAACTAAGAATCAGTGTCTTCACAACTTCTTTTCTACTGAACACTGTTACAGTAAGTCCTCACTACATAAATGAAACTGAAACCTAATACAACAAGGTCCGTCCATCATTCCTGGAATTATGTAATTGTCTAGGAGGCTTCAGCACATTCCAAACCACCCAGTACCTAACTCCTTACCCTCCAACTTCCAGCTCTAGATGTAAGCCAAGAGGATTTAATTTTATGGCAATGTATTTGTGTATGTTAAGCAAGAAATACCAAATGGGCAAACAATTCTTTTCCCGCAATCAAAATTCTCTTCTACCACACAATGTTGACTTTTTCTATATCTTCATTAGCTCTATATCACTAGTAAAAGCTAAAAATAGCTATCCATTATGGAAGCCAAGCATCAACAAGTCATTCTTAAATGCTCTACCTTATCTACAACACATTGTCCACCTAAAAGAGAATTAAAGCAACTGGATAACTGGATAATAATGATGATAAGCAGAGAATCTACTTAATTGATTTCTTTATGTAGCTTTCTTCATATACACTCAAAAAGACACAAAGTAAAGAAAACCTAAGCAAAAAATCTAAAACACAAAATTTAATTGAATAAAACTATTCCACCTTTCAAGTTTTTGATCTACTTCAAAACATATGTATCAAGCCCTTAAAATTAAATAGTGGTGATCATCATCAAAATAAGATTTATATGAGATGGACTGAGGTAAGGAGAGAATTAAAAAGTTAAAAGTCTCATAGCAAAGGGAATAAAGATTATTTTTAGGATGAAATTTTTAAAGTTCATAGGTCAGATAGAAACCAGACACAAGATTATTTACTCTGTGATTTCCTTTATATTACACTGTAGAACAGGCAAGAATAATATAGTGACAGAAAAACCAGTGCAAGCCTGACTCCTGGCTTGCAGAATGAATAGCAAGAGAACACAAGAGAATGTGCAGGTGATGGAAATGTTCTGTAGCTGGATAGCAGTGACTACATGACTAAATGCATTGTCTAAACTCATCAAACTGTTCTTTTAAGACAGATACATTGTACTGTATTCAAATTATTCCTCAATAAAGATGATTTTTTGAAATGCATTTCTCAGAAAACATCCACCTTCCTTTATCCTATTTCCTTTCTTAAGCATTACAGAAACAACTTACACATACCTGAAGCTGTGCCACAACACGGTGGTACCCACCATGCTGAAGAAAAGATGCTTGCAATCACATCAGGTGGGAAGAGAGTCACATTTCTTTGAATCTGAAGCAAATTTAACACTAATGCAAGAAATACTCCAATAAAAAACAGCACTACTCCTCGAATCATCAAGTTCACACTTCGGCTAGTGATGGATGAGATATAGGGGCCACGCTTTTTAGGCCCAGATGATTCTGTCTCTCCTTCTGCCATGGTTTCATAAGTTCAGTAAACAGGCACCAAAAAAAAAAAAAAAAAAGCTTCCCAGCTGAAAAGCCTGTAGAATTGTCTGTAGAACCAAAGTAGATTGACTGGCGTTTCAACAGTACCACATCTCATCCTACAATAGGACCTATCAGGAATCCTGCAAGAGATAAGAAAAAAGAAATCAGCATGTGCCTAATAATTATACAAATGTCCTGTTCTTAATACTAAACAATTTAAAAGAACAAATAATAAAATAACCTTCCATACTTATTAAAATTAGCTTTTTGCTAAGATGAGGTTTAAAAACATTTTTATATGCATGATGTAATTTTAAAAATGTTCTATTTGGTGCCCAAAAGTAGATGACTGGATCAAAAAGATTTGGTACATATACACAATGGAATATTACACAACTACCAAAAAAAGGGAAAACACATGTCTTTTGCACCAACCTGGATGGAGCTCGAAGAGATCATGCTTAGTGAGATAAGCCAGAAAGAAAAAGCAAAATACCAGATGGTTTTGCTCATAGCAGGAGTATAATGGACCAGGCAAGAATATAATAAGAATAATGAACAGCCATATACCAGAGACAGTTTGTGGGGGTGGAGTGGGGAATGGGATCAAAAGGGGGGGAGGAGAAGTGCACGGGACTATGGTGATGGCACTTGGGTGACTTGGTGATGGGAAACCCACAGGGATTACAATTGAGATGAAAAAAAAAATGTACAAAATGATGCAAAAATAAACTTATATTATAAAAAAAAAAAAATGTTCTAGTCGGGGCTCTCCCTGGTGGCACAACGGGTTAAAGCACCGCATTATGAGGCTCTCTGAAGCCACTGCAGGCAGCACGAGTTCGATTCCCCACCAGGGAGCTAACCCACATGGTGTGGCAGACCTCTCCTGGCCTGCCCTCTGTTCCCCTCAGCAGTGTGTTTCAGCACATCTGCCTGTTCTGCTCCCCACTCTGTCTCTGGTAAATCCACATCTCTGGCCTGTACCCCAGTTCTATGAGCATAAATAAGTAAATCTTTTGAAAAAATGTTCTATTTGGGCCCTCCCTGGTGGCGCAGCGGGTTAAAGCACAGCACTGAGAAGCTAAAGCCACTTCAACATGAGTTCGATCCCCGCCTGCCCCGGAGGTGACCACATGGTGTGGCAGACCTCTCTTGGCCCGCCCGTTGCTCCCCTCAGCAGTGTACTTCGTTGATCTGTCTGTTCTGCTCCCCACTTTCTCTGGTGAATCCTCTCGCCACCCCTCCACCTCTGGCCTGTACCCCACTTCTGTATGCACAAAATAAATAATTATTTTAAAAAAATGTTCTATTTGTATTTACTAGGTCAGAATAAGTGACTTAAAGATTAGTAGTAAAAAGTTTGTCCCACTTTAACAAAAAGCAGAGTAAGTTATCAGAAATATTTTGATATCTTTTCACTAGAATTGGAAGATAAAATTCCAGATTTCTGATTCTTTATCTAACTCACCAAATCCATCAATTATAGCAGACTACTTTATACTTTATAGAAAATTAATGAACTCTACTGAAAATGTACTATTCACAATAAAATGTGACTTGCTATGAGTACAGAGAGGAAGAAAAATGACCTGTTAACAACAAATTTAAAAGGAAACTTGTACTCCCAGGTTTACTGCAGCACTACTTACTATAGCTAAATTATGGAAACAACCTAAATGTCCCAATTCAAATGAGTGGATCAAAAAAATGTGGTATATATACACAAGGGGATACTACTCTGTGATCAAAAAAGATAAACTCATGCCATTTTTAGCAAAATGCATGGATCTTGGAGAGATAACACTAAATGAAATAAGAAGGATGATAAATATTGGGTGGTGTCACTAATGTGTGAAATAAAAGTAACTAAATTAATAGTCAGATAAAGACAAGCTTAAAAACAAACTCTTCATAGCTGACTACAGAACTAAAACACTAAGGCAGGGAAGGATGTATATGTGGAATGGGTACGGGGGTGTTAAGAACAAAGAAGGAAGGAAGCACAGTGGTCTATGATGGTTAGAATATGGGTGAGTGTGTGGTGGGTGCCTGATGGTAGAATACCCAATTGAAAATGGGTATTGAGCAAAATACTCAAGTAAAAAATGCATTAAAATAAATAAATGTGATGTTGAGTAAGCAACTGTGCTTAGTTTGTCCTTTTTTATGTACCTGGACACTAACAAGTAAATACAGTTATTAAGTCCATTTTACAGGTGAGGCAAAAAAGCAAAGGAAGTTAAGTTACGTGACCAAGTTTATGAGTAGCTTAGCAGGGATTCACATCCAAGTAGTCTGACTCCAAAGACCTCTAAAAGCCATTTTGTTCAGCCTCCCAAATTGCTACCTATTCTTCTGTGTTTTCTATAAGTACTAACATTTTTTTTAAATAAGAAAATACAAAAGGCTTTTTCAAACTTACTCTTATCCCACCCAATAATAATCTATCTTGAGGATACTCACAAGTAAGTACATAAATCATCTTTCCTTTGAATTTCAAAGTAGTTTATTTAAAACCTTAGTTTGGCATTTCTAATAGCTACCTCATAATGATATGTATAGTTGCTTTATGGATTATAAACTTTTTATGTAGGTCTTATTCACTACCAAGTCTCCACTGTGCCTATGTACTACAAAGGTACAGGACAGACCACAGTAGCAACTCTACATAGTCATATTTGTTTAGTTAAATTGATTTAACTCCTTTTGAATAAAACTACACAGCACCAAACAGGTCTTTCAGAGGGCAGCCCTAGCACCTCACTATTTAAAATACATTTTCTCTGAGTTTTTAAATTTAACTATCTTACAAATGAATTTTGGAACAAAACCCAGGGGTAAATGGGAGGGGAGGTGGCTTACTTTAGAAACAATTAGTATGAAATTCGGAGTATTTATAAGTACTCAATCTGTAAGTTCTATGGAATAAATACTAGACAACAATGAAATTTTTACTGGCCCTCTACCACACTCAAGGGGGAAATCTGTCCTCAAAATCTACTTGATCTATAGTTTATCAGAGCTCTACTGCTTAGAAGAATGGGGAAAATACACTCTAAACACCAAATGAAAATTCTCAGGAAACATCTCCTGCTGACCTGATCTATAGTTTATCAGAGCTCTACTGCTTAGAAGAATGGGGAAAATACACTCTAAACACCAAATGAAAATTCTCAGGAAACATCTCCTGCTGACCTGATGTGTTTTCGTACCCTGAATATTGGTATGTCATGTTTCTAGTCACTTTTAGCAAGGAAAAAAAAATCCTATGACAACTTACATACTATATAAACTCAAAACTTACATACAAGGTGAAGTTGATATACAAATCAAGAGTTTCACTTCCAAACTTCCAGATACTACAACCAACCCCCCCTTCTGCTGTTAAATGATCTACTAGAGGGAAAAGTACATACTCCAACAAAGCAAGTAACTCAACTTCTTCTAGTAAATCATTTATGTTTTTGATTTTTTTCCCAAAATTGAATCAATAGCAAAGGGTATTTTATGTCACATAATGGTTTTAAAAGTGCAAAGGAACTTTAATTTTAAAAGGTATTTCTGCTATGCTAAGCTTTGTCATACAATCACTCACCAGTATTTGTCAAAGGACACTGGCATTTTGGGTAACAATTTTTTGCATGGCATGGCCCTATCGCCCTAGTATCCCTTGGCTGAAGTCCACTAAATGTCAGTGCACACCCTCCACCCACCATTGGAGACAACCAAAAATGTTTCTACAAGTTTCCAAATATCTCCAAAAGTAACAAATCTCTCCCACTGAGAGTCAATGATTGCTAGAGATTGTCCTTATTATTTCAAGGTTGCTAGGCACTTTCTATACTGGTCATTTATTGGGTGGCAAGTATTTATTCAGTAGCAATGCTTGTTTCTAGCTTCTGACTTCACTCTACTTATTTCTTTTAAAATAACATACTTGTTAGATGTTTGTTTGAATGATTGTTTTAAAAGCTTATTTTTTTTTAATTCTAAAAAGCTAATTATGTGACCCCAAACAATACAATAGTACATAATTACAGGAGCTAAAGTATGTATTAAAATGCATTAGAATCACATTATCCTAAATTTTAAAAATAGAGGGAAACCAGGAGATTATCTATTACAGGTGGTATATGAGACTGATGCAAAGCAAAACCAAAACAATCATGTATACATTTCTTTTTCTGGGACATAAGTTCCACAATTTATATTAAGTATTGAGTCCACAATCTCCAAGAAGAATCAGTGACCAAATGGTTCCTCATTTCAAGAGCAAATTAATGAGACCCAAAGTGGTCGATGAAGTGACAAGATCAAGACCTGCACTTCAACCTGAAACTACAAACACATCTACACCTGGAAATGACCAGATTATCAAAGGGGCAAGAAAGATCATGATAATATTAAACAAATCTTAGTGAAGTGGGTTATTTAAAATGAAAGCTCTTGGATTGTTCTGATATTTGGTTTTTTGATTATGTATAGATACTATTTTCTTAAAACAAGTGTAACTAGCTCATTAAATATCACTCTTACAACAATGATAAATTTGATTTTCTAAAATTGTTCTAAAAATATGCATTTGAAAAATTTTAATTATTCAAGAAATAATTTGCTGATGAGGGAAGAAGGTTCTGGAATAAAGATATGCCACTTAGAGTACAGTAATTTAATGGATCTTCAACAGTCCTGGCACCTAGGAAGATGCTTTTAATCCCCATTTTACAACATAAAAAAAGATTAAGTCACTTTCTGAAATCATAAAACTAATACCAGGTAGCAAGAGGACTAGCCCCAAGCACTCTGGCTCCAAGTGCAGTGTTTCTTTCCATTTCACCACATTGCCTCCAACTACAAATACTGTACAAAAATAATTGATGTGCTGCACAAGAAACAGCTTTTAAAGCCATGTTGATTATCTATTCTTAAAACCAAAATTATGCTCTTTTGTAACAACTGACAAAAAACTTCTACCTGATACAAAACTTCTACCTCGACCTAGAATTCTATGAAGTACTAAAAAGAAAAACAGCTCAAATAGTTTGGACAGTTCAGTAACAAAACATGAAAACTGGAAAAACAGTACTCCAGGTTTATGACTGTCTGTTACTGGATTAATGTTATTTTTACAAAGATAAAAGAGGGTTTAAGTGATTCTGGCCTTTGTGGATAAAAATCAAAGTTTATGATTTCAACTGAAGCCACTTCCATAAACAGGCATTTAAAAACAAACATATAAATAAGATCACCTGGTAACCTTAGAAGCCAGCTATAGTTTAACAATTTTAACACCCTCAAACCAAACAAGATCATTAATCTTCCAATAACTGACAGTTTGCTCCCTGGGATTGCCCTGTCTCTTCAAGGACTTAGGTCAAATAGGTTACTAAATTTTTTTCACCATATGATTTTTTAATTAAAAAGGCATTCCCAGAATAAACATTAACATTAAGAACATACTAGATCAATGAAATCGTTTAACTTTCCTTAAAGAAAAGCACACAAATATAAGTCATAGGCTATCCATACTTAAAACTTCTAGGAAGAAAGTACTTACTTTTGAAGACTGCCAACTCATCTTTCCCTCTACATATTAAAACCCAAACACAGAAACCATTAAGCAAGTACCATTCATATTCCAGTAAAATATACTGTTTTTAAGGGTCAAATCTTTGTCCCTGAAAAAATTACTTTCATATTTGGAATAGTTTTCTGGTAACAACAAATACAAACTATCGTTTAACTACTGAATTACATAATATTCTTTCCCATTCAGCCCCACATGCATAAAAGCAACAGTTGTCAGTTTAAGAATCAACCTCAGATCAAAAATATACTATTTAACATAATGCCTAATGAAGGGAGAAGAAGAATAGAAGGTTAATTTTGTCTGTGGGGCCTCTATTCGTGGGGATCCTATCTTTTATTTGTACTCAGTGTTTCGCTAGCAGGGTCAAACCCCTAAAGTTTGAAAACACAATGTAGCCATTACTCACTGCCTTTATTTCTCCAGAAACTAGGACTTGAGCTTGTCTACCCTTGCAATCCTCACCTCCATTGCACTAATGACCCAAGTCAGTTTCAGAGTCCAGCTGTCAAGTCGATCATTTCCTTCTTACAGCACTTTCTCATCAGTCCTACAAAATAGTAAGCCCTTCATGGTACATTAACCTGGGCTATCCAGTTAACACCATACTTCTATAACTTTTTTCCACAACACTAACTGGTTATTATCATTTAAGGTTTAGCGCTTTTCTCACATCCCTCGTCCCGCATCACCTACTGTTTCCCTTTTCCAGGTTGTTAATCCCCATTAACCAACTTAAAGTCCCAGTTACTACCAGCAAACGACTGACAAGATGCTCCTTGCCACATACCTGCGGCAAAGGTTTCCAATTCCAATAAAAATGCCCAAGTTCCACTCCTCAACCCCAAACCAACAAACATACCTTTTCGCGGAATCTAAACGTAACTACAATACTTACCTTTACAGACACATCCCCCTCCGAGCCAGAGTCCTGTCTCCCAGGCTACCAGCCTCCCAAATCCTGACAGTTCTGTGCCTGACAGCACGCTGACCTCCACCCCCATTTGATCTCCAGGGTCGCCCTTGCCGTCGCCCTCCGGTTTTCTTTTAGCTAGGCACTCTTCTACTCTCCGGTGAGCCTCGGCCTCTCCTCTGGCCTCTACCCGACCCTGTTGACCCCTTTCGGACCTAGCAGACCCTTCTCCAGGTAAACCGAGACTCTAGCCCTTCAGGCCCCATCTGTGGTCCAGGCTCCCCGCACTTGCCATCAGAGAGCCAAGCCTGCAAACACAGCATTAGTCCTCTTCCTGAAGGCCACCCCTTCCTCGGACCGCTTCCCTCTGCACCAAGTCACCCACTGCGCCGGAAGACCCCCAACTCACCCCCGCCTCCGCCATCTTCTGAGACCGGCCCCCGCCCCCCTCCGTCTGTGCCTCCTCCCCTTCCACAACTCCGCCCAGGAGACACTGCGCTTGCGCACCCGACGCGGCCGAGCTCATACGGTCGGGGCACAAAAGCTTCCGGTTTCTACCGACCCTGCTTACTGGACCGGGGCAAAAAGACTTCCGGCCTCTGCAGAATTATGGCTGGCTGGAGGCGTGGGCCGTCTAGGTTGTGGGAGGTGGCCAGGATGGCTGTTTGCTGAGTGACCCGGCAGTCGGGGCTCGTGACGAGTGTCCAGACCCTGTGGGCGGTGTCAGGGAATCGCGCGTCGAGACACGCACGCTCGCCGGGAGGCGCGGCCCATGGCACTTCCAGCTCAGCCCGGTGGAGAACTGTCTTTCGCGCCAGGCTGCCACTTTCTCCTGCTAAGAAGGCGGATTCTCAGTACCTGTGTGTTTACCAACCTGTCCTCTTTACCTTTTCCCGTCCCTGCCAAGTGTTAACTTGTTTGGGTTGGAGAGGATAATTGATATTTCTCCTCTCCTTCTGCAGCATTTTCTGCGGTTTTCATTGTTAATCGTTCCCCAAGTTCGACCAGGTAAAGCGGTCGAACAATTTTCATTGGAAGGGCTTTAGACAGCTTTAGACGATTACAGCAAGACGTTTAAAAAGGAAAAAAAAATGAACCTATAATTCCTTATTTGTCCTGTCCGCGTTGTAATATAATATGGCTGTGTTCAAGTTACAGTGGCCTTGAGGAAGTTTTAACTGAAATTTCAATTTAGAATAAGCATAAGCTTTGCAAGAGTGTCAGTTGGTGAAGTTCCTTTGTTTTTTACTTTGAACTGATAAACAATACATTGGATTCTGTTTGTGACCTTTTTATAGGTACACTTATATCCAAAAGTTGAGGGAGAAATTGAATTTGCAACAAATTGAGCCTAAACAAGTATTCATATGAGCTTTCCTATTTTCTCTACTGTTTCCAATAACTATTAAATTTCTCTCCTGTAGATTTTTACACTACGGTTAAAAGGGTTAAAATAATAATAATAAAGTCCTGGGTCTATTGTACTGAATGAATAGTAAGTTAACAAAAGAGAAAAGCACCCAGAAAGAGAGAAGTAACTTCAGAGTGTCCTGACATTAAACATCAATCATTCTCCAGCTTTTGAAACACTTAGGAATTGGCTTCAAGAACATTATTATGAAAAACTTAAGCCTGAAGAGGTATTAATTTTACTTTATATATTTATTGATTGCAAGGAGGGACAAAGGATAAAAAAACTAGGGTACCAAAAACAATGCAGTCACTCCTACTGCAGTACAAGACAAAAAAATACATAATCTTTAGAAAATACGAAGAGCCACTGTCTTCTGGTTAGGTTTAAGGACAGTTTTCTTGGAAGATCAAGTCTTTCGTGGCTGTTGAGGATTAATGGGCAGATAGGCATTTTGGTTGGAGCTCAGAGTTGGAAAAATAGATTGTAGGGCTGCAGTGTGAATGAATGTATAAGACAATGGGCTCTGAACCGTGAAGTTCATGAATTTGAACTAAATTCTTATCATGAAAACATTCAAAGCGCAAATTAATGAAGCCAGGCTATGAATTGATTGAGAACATGGAGAAATCAGAATGACTTTGGGCTACTTTGAAGTCGATGTAGTATGGTCCATAAAATACTGATAAAGAATTCTTGAAAATTGATTTGAAAAGAGCAAGTGCATGATCATGTTGAATAAATTCATTTTTCTAGGTTTTTCCCCTCCCCTCTAATTTCTAAAATGAGGGATTGGTCTATATTATTGCCCTTGATTCAAGACACCCTTTCCTCCAACACTTTCACAGGCAAAAATGATAGCAATAATTTGATAATATTGTGACTTCAGAGAATAGTTTTTTCCACTAACCTTACAGGTTCTTTGATGTCCCAGTAGACTGGACCAAAAGGTAAATAAGAAAACAAAACTTTCTTTACTTAGCTAATACAAACACCCACAACCATTTATTTCCTTTATTGAAATAATCTAACAATTATTATCCAAATAATTGTTTTTTGATGAAAGCTTTGATGACAAAGTTTCCAATATACTCTAAGAATCTTGAACTTACCCAAATTAAAAAACATTAAAAAGTCCCTCCCTGGTGGCGCAGCGGGTTAAAGCACCGCACTAAGAAGCTAAAGCCACTTCTGCATGAGTTCGATTCCCGCCTGCCCCGGAGGTGACCACATGGCATGGCAGACCTCTCCTGACCCGCCCGCTGCTCCCCTCAGCAGTGTACTTCGTGGATCTGCCTGTTCTGCTCCCCACTCTGTCTCTGGTGAAGCCTCTCACCCTCCGCATCTCTGGCCTGTACCCCAGTTCTGTATGAATAAATAAATCTTTAAAAAAAAAACATTAAAAAATCCTCATTTGGGGGGTGGGGGGTTAGTGTTTGATGTAGATACATACATATAGAGAGAGATAGTTGAGAAACATCAAAAGTCAAGGAATTTTGCCATTTTGAAGTTACAGGATGGATCATTAATTATCCATTCATCCCTCAGCAACTATCATTGGAGTCACTTCTAGGTAGTAGTTGAAATCATGATTTTCACAATGTATATTATGCATATTTTTTTTTAAAAAGACACTAGAGACTGGGAAGAAAAACCATAAAACTTTATATTGCCATGTTTGAACTGTTCAAGTTTTTTTTTTTATCTACAGTGATATTAAACATAGTTTACATAGTCTATGATGAGTTTTTAATACTTCTCAGACTTTTCCCTGACCATGCAGCAAATTAAACAGATACAGGACCATGAATGCAAACCAATTTTAAATATCAACTGCACAAGTAGAACACTGTATTTGTATCTTCAGAAATGTAATAGACATATCCTAGAACAGTGTTTCTACACATAAATAATTTTCATGTCCCAGCTTTCAGTTATTTTGATTATTTTACTTCAATCTACAAAAATTACAATGCTCTAAACATAAAACAAGATAGAAAATTCAGGTCATATTTATAACACAAAAAATGCAAAATTATATGTACAAAAATGTAAAATAAGTAACTTTCAACTTATGTAATATGAAAGGTGTTTTGGTAAAATTGAAACATTTTAATAATGTTGAAATAACTGATACAGAATGAATTTTTCTGATACAAAACATGCTTTTAATACTGTATGTCATGTGATGGCTCCATTTTCTCACAACTTCCTGTTTTTAAACCTCATTTGTACAATCAACCTTACCATTATTTGACCTTCATTTGGAGCAAATGATAACTTAAATATTTCCCTGTTTTTTTTTTCAAATCATGATAAGAGAATTACAAACTGATCTTAGCAATACATACCCTGTTAGAATGTATTTAATACAATCTGGAGCATATAATTAAAATGGCATCATTTCATAACTCTCCAGAGAAATTATGGACTCCTGAGAATATATCCATGCCCTCTAAAGATTCACAAACTTCCACTTTAAAAAAAAAATCCTAGATTATCCAGTATTTTTTATAATTTATGCCTTGCAAAATTCCTGAGCATAAATCCCCGATTCCCAAAATAGAATGAATATTAACAGAACTTTTTCTTGGTGGGACGTGGAAGGAGGAGTGGATTTGTTTTCCATGTTCATACTTGGTAAGTGCTGCATTATTAAAGATTTTCAATATGGGGATTCTGAGACCCTTTAATATATTAGTACATAATTTGTCCCATAGAACATTTGTTCCCCACCACCACCACCTAGCCCTGTCTTCAGAAGATCTCATAGGGCTTACAGTTGACTATGTTATTATAAATAGATTGTCAAATAAACAGTCCTATCTAATCTACTTAGAGGGAGTTAAAATAATGAAGTGGTATTTTATTGGGGAAATATATGAAAACTTCATTAAATCCTCTATCATGTTATCAATCATCATCCGTTCTACACAGAAAATACAAACATCATCAGGCAGATGGCATCTTTCCTGTGCCTTGTATGCTGCCTGATTCATAAATATTTTGGTGATTAATATTTTCTTGCCTTACTTGTTTTATATTAATAGTGTTTGATGCTTTTTGATTTCATAAACTACATAGTTTCTGGAGAGAGGACCATAGTCTCAAAACTGTTTTAATGTAGTCTCACACGTTTACCCTGAAGTCTTACAAGGAAATTTGCCATAGAATCTGTACTGTCCAGGTCCTCCCTGATGGCACAGCAGGTTAAAGCACAGCACTGAGAACCTAAAGCCACTTCAGCATAAGTTTGATCCCCACCTGCCCCGGAGGTGATCCACATGATGTGGCAGACCTCTCCTGACCCACCTGCTGCTCCCCTCAGCAATGGCCTGTTCTGCTCCCCACTCTGTCTCTGATTAACCCTCTCACCGCCCCTGTACCTCTGGCCTATACCCCAGTTCCGTATGAATAAATAAATAAAATCTTAAAAAAAAAAAAAAAGAGAATCTGCACTGTCAAATACAGCAGTCACTAGTCATGTGCAGCCACTTAAATTAATTAAAACTAATTAAAAATTCAGTTCTTCAGTTGCATTAGCCACATATCATGTGTGCGGTAGCTCCCTGTGGACAGTGCAGTTTAGAGAATACTTTTTCATCACATGAAGTTTTACTGGAAAGCTCTGTATTAGATGATTTATATAAATTTAGCTTTCTAAAAATACTGACATGGTAGGGGGAAAATCAATATAGGTGAAATGAAATCATTACCTACCAGCAATTTGTCCACCTAAAATTTACAATCTCTTGTAGATGTTGAAGACAGAATTATATAATCCACAGAATCCCAGTGGTTAGGAAAATGTTTGAGTTACGACATTTTGAGCTTTTGCACTTGGCACCAGCCTATTCCAGCAGTACGTGCCAATTGCAAAAGTCATTTTGGTTTTGCAGAAAGAATCATAAGTAGGTAGCGTGTAGAAGGTCTACAACATTTAATGTGGGCCAGGTCATAAAGAAAACCATCCCAATGAAAACAAGAGACTTTGTTGAAATACAGACACATCTCAAAGATATGGCAACTCCAGTTTCATTCACTGCAATAAAACTAGT